AGACAATTATTCTTAGACAAAAGTATCAGGTTCTAATTTGCTACTTGAATTTTTCTATCAACGACAGTATTTATTTTTGGATTTAATAATAGAATTCTGTATTAATAAAAGGACAACAAATTCAACTAATTTAGGTTGATACTCAGCATTCATTTTGAATAATTGCTTGAATTAAGAATCAATAATTAGAAATAACAATTTTATATCTTAAGTATCATGTTAGAAATTAACGTCATCATATAAGTTTCAGTAACTTATCCGAGACAATAAAGATCAAATATTCACATCTTTTAAGAAGATGGTTAGATTTTTTTATTAGCTGGCATCAGGTGTTTAAAGTTAAAACAATTAATAACCAATTCCTTTAGGAGTATAGGCTTTTACGTCTAAGTGATTGTCTAAATTGATTAAATAAATTTAAATAAGAAAGAAAGTATCGAAAGTGTTAACAGAAATTTAGTTTGTTTCAAGAGCAAGTTCACCGACTTTACAGCTTTATTTCAAGCAAAAGGTATATCAAAATCCAGCAAGTATTATCGCCCAAAAGATATCTAAAAATACAGACAAACTCAAGCCGGTCCTAGGGGACGTGAGGGATGTTTCATTTTTTCATTATCCCTCATCCAACCAGTCGTCAATTTTTATGTAATTTAGGATTAATGCATTATCCAGAGTTCATTGTTATATCATTTCATGAAATAGGATAACTTCAATAAGAAAAATCTTATTTGAAGGAATTTGCACGAATTGTGTTAAGTATCAACTTTTTTTCATGTAAAAATATTTGTTGAAATAATCTTTGGCATAAAACATTAACGTCTAAAATTAAGTAACATAAATAAATTATAAATATTTTCACGACACCATTACATTATATCACATTACGAATAAAATGTTAAGTATGCAATTTAATGCGGCGCGCGTGATACGTTATCATGCCATAATGTTATTTATGAAACTTGAACAGAATACTGTTACAGATACAGCATATGTTTCTTTTAATAACACGTTCACCTTTTTACTAAACTTAACAATAAAATGGAAAACATATGGAAGACAGTCGAAAAAACAAAATTGAAAAATTAATGTGAAAATGTTGCAGGCTCGGTTTGACTGGGCATGTGCATGGGCAGCAGAGGTCAGTTCAAGCTACTGCTAACGACCCACTAGCACCGGCTTAATCCGTATTCAGCATTTAGATATGAAAATGATGAACTATCTGAATAAAGAAAGAAACATCTGCAGATATGTTCATATTGTGAATTAAAACTTAATACTTAAAAGGTACAGTTACGCTAACTTTAAAAAAATGTAACCTAATGCTGAAACTTAAAAATGCTCACCGACTCTGGCGATGCAATGGTTAAGTAATACACAACGATTAAGTTTAAATTACATAATTTTAATGCTTTTAAGCCATCGAATGGGAAATAAATTCGATAAATGAAAGCCTTTAATGCTGTTTAACACATTTGTTCTGTCGGAAAATTAGATTTTGCAACGTTTAACTTTGCGTCGAACAGCGAAGATAAAATAAAATAAACATTAATATTGTGGTTCGGCCATTTGTAAAGACTTAAACATACTTTTGTGTACGATTTTCTCCCTGATAACAATTTAGATAACAATAATTACAATATAGTATGGCCAACATCTAGAATTATTGTTTACTTGAAATTTAATATTTCAAAAAGTGTCGTTATTTTAATGTCAAGTTATGCAGGTTCTTGGAACCAGAATGTGTAGTCCGTTGCACCATATATTACCCCGCATTTGGTTTCTAAAATTCTTTTTTTGCAAGGAAGGAAAAATGCCAATATAAATACAATATGGATTTCAAAGACTGTAGAGCAGGCTCAAGCGACCGTCCGAAAACCAATGCTTAGTGGAAATATTGATTGGGTGTCGATATTAACTTTTTTGGGTGACACACCCAAGACGACAAGCTCATAAAGTTTTTCACAGTAGGCTACGTAATATGTTCACGAACCAAGCATGAAAAATGTAGAAATTTACGAAATTTCACTAAATTTGATATGTACAATGTGATTTTCATTAATTTATAACTTTTGCGGTCAAAGCCAAATCTGGTATATTTCGCAGTATTTTATTCCAACTATGAAAATAATTCTAGGAAGGGGAAATCCCTAGGGAGTAATGATATTTAAAAAGATTGAAATATGATATTTGCAACATGTCAATGACTTTTGTTTAACCTTAAATGCCTATTATGCCTAAAAGAAGCTATCATTTTATTTCTTAAAAACATTTTATTTTTGGTATCATGTTTCGAAAATTTACGCATTTATCATATACTAGATGAACTATCTTTACGGTTGCTTTGCTGGCAATAGCTATAATGTTTTACCTTTAATACACATTACTGCGAATTCAGCGCTACTTTCGTCTGCATTCATGCTCCTCATCCATTATTAATACATTATTCAACGCATGTTTGATATTTTTAAAGAATTCTTTAATTATGGATTTGTAGCATGTAGCATGATAAAGATAATACGTCCTTCGACACTTTAAACTTTAATATATTAATTAAAAACTGCATGTGTTTGGAATGAACAATAGTTCTAGAATTTGATTTATGCTGAAAAGATGATTCAACTGAAATGACTTTAGTTGTTAAGTGTTTGCCTGTTCCAAATGATGAAAGGAAAATAGTCTATTAGTTTCTAATTTTCGAAATTTATTTTTCACTTACATTTTAACATCATCCATGATAAAAATGTTTTTGCTAAAGACTTTTTTGTCAATTTAGTGCTGAATACGAGATACCCAGCATGATTTTACTTTAATTAACACAATTTAGCGTATACTGACACTGCTTATATGTCGCTGTAAATGTTGTTTTGTTTGCAATGAACCATCTTATCTTTTTAGATAATATATAAAATATACTTTGTACTAATTTGAAAGTCGACTTATTCTTGGATTTGGGCCAATTTGAATGAAAAGCGTTGCAATAAAATCGATTATCTTCGGGATGCTGATTGTGCGAATGATCTGAAATTATGAAAAGAATTATTGAACCAGACTTACATCTAGTTATACAAAATACTTGAAAATATTTTCATTCCCTTCTCGTCTAAAAAATTCAGGATAGTCCCTTTAAGATATGACTTTTTGATTTGATAATATGACTGGCAGCTAGCCCTGCTGGTATGACTGCGTGAACGCCGCCTTGCCTTGTTGATCCTCATTTTTTTTTTACATTATGACATTATAAATGTTTCTCAAACTTTTTAATAATAATTTTATTCCCACTGTATAGACTTTTTTTTAATGAAATTTAGATCTGCATTATTCCAGTTATAATGCGACTCTTTGTCCAAAAGGGTGAAATTTTTTTTTTAATCATTAATTAGTACGAAATCTGGCTCAAAGTAGTCAATTTTTTAAAACGATTTTTTAATGATTATAGATTATGCACCCTTTTGATGTAGATAGGGTTTTTTAAAAATGTATAAATCTGTTTTTAAATTTCAATGTTACCTTTAGAAAAATTTTTTTTTTAAAACTTTTCCCAAAAATGCCAGTTATTATAATTAAATTTAACCCTTTAAATTTGGCACATTTAAAGCCTAATAAATGACTACAATAGTTTCTCTTAAGAAAATGCAAAACAGTTTGATATAATTATGATTAAATATTTAAAAAATGTTAGATGCTTATCTTGTGGTAGCCCTGAATGTGAAGTTTTTTGTAATTAAAGTAACAATTTATAAGGAAAATAGCATTTTGTCTGTCATACTAAAAACTGTATGATTAAAACTTTACTATTGCCCAAAAAACTTTAAAAAAAGCAAAGGCAGTTCGTCTATAATTATGGCTGACTAGTTCCTGTTTGAAAACTGTTTAAGTACTCCTGAAATAAAGAAAAATTAAGCAATAAAATAAAACTTATAACAGGCTTATTGGGTCTTAAATTTCAGTTGTAATCTACTAGTTTTGTTTTAGAATTAGATAATGTGAGTTTTCTGTGATAATGGTTTTATAAGAAGAAAGAAAACATAATGTAACCTTTAAAAGGTAAATGGGTTTATTTAAGATACTTTCCCAGTAGATCTCTTAAAACCTCTTTTCCAGACAATGGTCAGATTTTGTACTTAATTCACACTAATACTAACACATAATTTAAATACTTTTGCTTTAAATAGCTTGGACTGAGAGCTGACAATTCCCACTGGACACTATTACATTTGTAATATTGGCTTTCAGACACATAAATCAAATAAATAATGCGCTATGTCGTATAACTGTTCCTTGCTGTGACCAGAAAGGACACACCAATGTTACAATTGTTTCTTGTAACGATTCTTTTTGTTAATCAGACCAAAAAAACGAGAAAAAATATTAACGTTTTCGAGTTTTGGGGTGAAAAGGTTTAGGTGAAAAAGCTGTGCAAGAATCCACGTTCTTATATTTGTGTTTAATCAACTCTATTGCCAATATAGATTCGCATATCGGATTGTTGATATCAAAGATTTGAACCTAGTGTATAACTTCTATTAGAAATGATTTTTATCTAGAACATGTAAAACGGAACGAGTTTATCAAATTTGAACTAAATCGAAATTATGGTTTTCAGCGAAGTTGAGAGCAGTTGATGATAATATGAAAAACCGTGTTGTCTACCAGATATGTTTTTCTAAAAGTAACCATAGGGAACTTAATATATCATACTAGTATCACATTGTTCTCATTAATGTTCTTTTCAAGCATGTTATTTTTGTGTTTAATTTACAAGGGCAATCGGACTTTCAAATGCCGCAACTTTTTGTAAGGAATATTTCGCACACCACAATGTTCCTTTTTCTTTGAATTTCATTAATAAATATGGCAAATATTTCAACTTTTTCTAAATGCTGCATGTTGCTCCTTATGCGACTCGACTGAAGATCAAAATTATAACAAAATTTGCTTTTCAAAAGCTTACCAACACAGTTTTCCTTTGTGATTTGTAGATTAAATAATAAAACAGCACAAATGCTAGTATAAATTTAATAATAAGAAAAATATTAACATTTAAATAAAGTTAATATTGCTAGATGAAAGATTGTTATGTCCTTGATAAACAATATGCTTATTCGGTATAAGAGAATATCAAAGTAGTTGGCACGTTTTACTCGTATTCTGGTAATCGTACATTTTGTTCCTTTCGCCTGGTTTCCGAAGATCGTTCTTTCTAATTATGAACATACTTTTGTCTTTCACAGGGCAATGTTCATTCGAAGCTTGAGACGCTGTACCTTCGGAATGATTATTGTTTTTGCCATGTCTGTGCAATCTTGGACTCAAATTGGTTTTCTTAGCTGGAGAGTCTTTTGGTGATGCGTTATTACTCATTGTCTTTTTCACATCTTCAAATGATACAGGCGAGTAGAGTGATCTGAGCTCAGCAAAGTCTGCTTGGTCGTTTAAACCTCCTGATTTAGATGATGTAAAAATATCTTCATTCTTGCTCTTGACTTTAGACAGCTCTTCTAGAAGAATGGATCCAAACGGACATTTGGCTTGCGTACTCTCGACTGGATCTCTGCCTAGTAACCAATAGGTTTTCATTTGACCTTTACCCTATAAAAGAAGTTTATAACTCTACATTTTTTTATAATAGGAAGCTTCCAGATATAGAACATTTATTGGATTTATCCTTTAGCTCTGAACTTTTGTTCACAAATCATTATTTCGCAAAATTTACGCGGCATTTAAAATGTCAGTTACGAAAGTGTTTGATCAAACCTCGAGATTTGTAAACGAAAGGTTACTGTTAAAACTCAAATGTTAATTGACAAAAACAGCACGTGCAAATCTTAATCCGGAAAATCAATTTGATACCTTTACTGTAACTGTTCCTCTTTCCTCAAGGATATACGGGTAATCGATCAGCTCTTGTCTCGTTGTTTCGCTGATGTGAATCTTATTTGCCTAAAATGTACAAAGAGTGGTTAAGAATGATAATATTGTGAATAAGTAACATAATATTCTATTCGAATTATTTGTGTATTATAAGTGTTTAACCACTATAGTAATAATGTATTGATCGTTGCGCAAAGCAATGCGATGCATAAAATAAAGGAATCTACTTATCACAATTACACTGGATGTTCTGTTAGTTTTATGTATATATAAAAAGACAATCTAGAAACTGTTGCTTTTGTATTAAAACAACACATGACTGATTATGAAGTATCTTGAGGTTAAGACATTTTACTCAAAATAACCATGAAAGATTTCATTAATTTCTCACAAGATTTTAATTAATCTGCTTTAAGCATGACACCCAGTAAACTAAAATTCAGAAATCTAATCTGGTTAGTCTGTGTTTTCTAGATCGAGTACCACGGTTGACCACAATACATGATATGCAAACGGTTTCGACCTTTCTTTATATATATCAACATGTTGGGTATACTGTATACAGAGACAAGGATATGCAAAACAAGTTTATAAAATGCGGAAAGAATCGTCAATTGTATGACTTCAAGTTTCCTGGATGTCATGTGTAAACAATTTGGAAGTGTAAACACATCACTGACTTTTTTAAATACATGTATTTCTCTTGTGGAATTTGGACAAAATCTAATTTCCACATTTCTCAACATTTGCGCAATTCTTTTTGAAATGTATCTAGTTATTTTACAACAGATAAAATTAGTACCTGGCCATTTGTTTCCATTCTTGAGGCTGTATTAACTGTGTCACCAAACAAACAGTAACGAGGCATTTTGATGCCTACCACTCCCGCAACAGTATTTCCAGAATGAACACCTTAAAATATAATAAGTATACATTGTATTTTCAACTTAGTAATCATGATTTAAAAAAGTAAAAAACCAATTCCATGTTCAAAAAACAATTATATTTCTTCGCATTTAAATTTTTAAGTTTTGAAAAAAAATCAAACTCCTAATAAAGTGTCCCACATGCATGATAGATTTCAATATTTTTCTTCATTCATTTGACAAACAGGCACAAAACAGAGTAAAAACTAGAACAAATTTGAAAAAATATGACAACAAAATCCCATTTATTATAATACAAAGAAAACAAATTAGCAATGTTACAAATGTTGTTAGTCGTTATTTTCGTATTTTTCATCAATAATTCTTTAATGTGCTTCTCTATCACCCTCCTCAATGCCTTTATAATGATCAAAATGTTATTTGTCTTTATAATGACCATGTAGTGCCAACAATATGAGATCATTCAATGTGTCTCTAATGAGTTAAAAGTCAGATAAAAATGTTTCATCTTCAGGAGCATGTGTTTATCAAAAATGAAAAAAATATTGTCCCTTTTTTATAACTTATTCGAATTTTGAAAGGCCAAATCTAAAGAAAACGTTAAGTAATAATTCAGGTAAATTAGTATAATTGGATTTTTTCTTGTTGATATAATACAAAAGCGCCTCATTTAAAAATAAGGTATTTGTAAATTTTTTCTAAACAGCTAATGATGCTTATGCCAATCGTCGTCATACCCCGTAAAATAGCCGTTGAATATTTATAACGTCCTTTATACATGTAAAATTTATGTGCGTTAAAACACACAATTTAATCAATTGCACACAAGCTACCAGCACAGAACACCGCCTAATCATGGTCTGCACTGTTCGATATTCAGTCAGTACATATTTTCAAAATATTTTCTAAATAAAGAATGGTTTTTCCCAGACTGAATGATGGGCAAATCCGTTTCAGTATTTAATGTTGTATGGGTCGAACTAAATATTTTGCAAGATACACCTTTACATGTTTTGGTTATAATAGTTGTCTTAAACCAATAAACCAAATGTATAACATCAAAAAAATAGACTTACCGACTCTAAATTTCATATTGCCATCTGTTAAAATCAGATAAAGCAGCACTTAATGACTCTAATTTTCATATTGTCATCTGTTAAACCAAATATATTATATCAGATAATACACTTACCGACTCTAATTTTAATATTGCCATCTGTTAAACCAAATATATTTTATCAGACAATAGACTTACCGACTCTAATTTTAATATTGCCGTCTCTTAAACCAAATATATTTTATCAGACAATAGACTTACCGACTCTATTTTAATATTGCCATCTGTTAAACCAAATGTATTATATCAGATAATACACTTATCGACTCTAATTTTCATATTGCCATTTGTTAAACCAAATATATTATATCAGATGACTGACACCTACCGACTCCAATGTTCGTTTCGCCGTCTGTTAAACCAAATGTAGTATATCAAATAACTGACACTTACCGACTCTTATTTTCATATTGCCGTCTGTTGAAGGGTCTCGCAGCTCGTTCATGGCATCAAGCATGTCTAGAGACATGTCGCATATGTGTAGAGCATGATACCTTGTCTTATCTGGGGCACCAGACACTACCATGTATGCATCTCCAATTGTTTCAACCTTTTAAGAGATAAAAACAATATGTTCGAGAATGTCTCAAATACATCAAAGACATGATGATATGATATGATTAAGAAACAGGATACACTTACAAAAAATACGGACAACCGATATTTTGAAGTTCTGTATAAAAGTGCTTTCTTTGTACTTTTCTAACTTAATGAGTTCCTTATAAGTGATACTTCCTTATAACCATATTCGCTATAACCATATATTTTTTAATAAAGAAGGGCAAAATTCGGACCAAAAATGTTCCTTATTACCGGAAGTTCGCTATAACCATGTCAGCTATAAGTGAAGTTGATTGTATTATATGTTTAAGGCTTGCGTTAAATTTTAATGAATTATAAAATTTGTAATTATGTATAAACATCTAAGTGCTCTTATGATATTTAGTTTTTCCTGAAATCAAACTAGACAAAAAAGATAAAATTAAATTGCCTTTTCAAAAAGAAAAAGAAAAAAAAGAAAACAAACAACATCAACAGCAACAAACAATAGGGAACATCCGATTTGAAACAAATTCATTGAAATTAGAATAATCTGTAACAATACATTTTTCTTAACAATCAACAGTCATAATTAAAATAAAGGTCATATTTTTTTATTTTGATATTTTGTATATTAAAATGATGTAAATTTTTAACAGGTTATTCCTACAAATGCATCAGACCCCTTCAATACTCAATAAATATCTGACAGTAATTGACGAAAGATGTCTTAAATTATACAAAATGAATTTAAATTAAATGCTGTTATTTAAAACTTGTAATAATTGACATTTTTGGATCGGCTTATGGTTAAAAGACATGGCGTAATTCAAAACAACCAATTTTACTCTAGAACCTTGCATCAAATCTGTCATTTTATCTTGTCACTTTGTAAAATATTTACATATTCTTGGTTCCAAGCGTCTCACAGTGTAGGACAAGCAACCAATATTTATAAATCATAATTGTTTATATGACAAATGATATCCTATCAAATTTTCAAATGTCTAAATTGAGTATAAACGTGTGATTTTAATTCAGGAATTCTATGTCATTTATGTATATAATTCCATATGATCTGTAGTTATTAATATTAGCTCTTGTTTTCGAATTGATCTTTCGTATTGTTTCAGTTTTGTTTGCCGCACACATTCTTCTTTCACATATGTTTTGGTTGGAAATACGATTTAATTATATTTATTGCCGTTTATTGTATAGATAAATAAATATGTAAAAATACTATGTACAAAGGATTGGGATACTTATACCAAAAATACGGGATTTTTAAAACAAATTGCCCGGTTTTCAGAGGATTCCGGTTTTCAGAGGGTTCGGTTTTCAGTTTTACTGCATGTACAAAAATAGTTGAATATATATACCATATTATTTTGTTTATTACATTCCAAAATGTTTGCATTACTATGTATTACAGGACATAACATGTTTGTCATGAGACACTTGTATTGGTCCTTTAATATCATATATTTCACTGTATATGCATTTTCAAATTGAAACGCGAATCATACATAATACGAAATGGGTTACCTTGAAAACCATTTTCTTTTTATACAGAATGCCGATTTTGGTTAGTAATCTAATCTTGTTAAAGTATCTCGTTATAACTGATATTAATGATTGATTGTTATTACTTTATGAGATAAACCGAAGTCTCAAAACATTATGGACAACCCTCGTTCATTGTGTGTGTACGAATTGAGCTTGGCCCTGCCCCTTAGCTTTTTGGGATCAGAAACAGCAAAACCGTGAACCTTTGGGTCGTAAGGAACTAAATTAATGCGTTTTTGTATTATTTGGGTCTATCACTCCTAGCTCCAGCTGCATGCATACATTTTCCATATCATCATCTTTCGGATTTTGCTGCAGTGTTGGAGCAGTACCACTAGAAGCTTGCAGAAATCATGATCACAAAGTAGAAAAATATCGATTATTTTTGATGATTCTCGCATTTTCATAAATTGGTGTGTACAGATAAATAATTAGTCTTAGAATGCATTTCGGCGGGTCAAAAAGGCGAGTTTTATAACGTTTAATTTTTCAAGCGCCCGGTCCGGTATATTCTGGAATACGGTATGTAGTGTGAAGCTCCAATTTCACATCACAAACTTACCTTGTATACATTGTGTTGTTCACTGAGCTGATCGAACTTTGTATACATGGCGTTGAGCATAGACACGACCTCCATAGGTGAAATTTGGCTACAAATTCGTGTGAACCCTACAACATCGCTAAACAATATGGTCACGTTTTCAAATACCTACAATATAAAGTTTGTATAAACAGATCGAAATGTAAAAAATTACATATAAATAAATTAAGCCTATTTTTTCTAATATAATTCATCAGTTTTTACTACGCAGATGATTCAAAGGAATGAATCTATTATTTCGTTCAACGCCTCAAATGTATTAATAATAACATTTTATATTTAGCTCTCTCTCTATTTATCGTTAACTTATATTTCCAAATTTATATTTCCTTTCTTAATATAAAAGAAATCATTTTCAGCTTACTTTTAACATAATACCAATATCAAGTTTTTCTAAAGATAATTTGAAGTGCTTTAATGAAATAATTTTCAAACATCTCCAACTTACATTTAATTTGTAAAAGGAAACATTCGTATATATTTTGTGTTTTTATGAGATAATCATAACAATATATTTGTTATTCCTTTAGAATATATTATGTTATTAGCATTCTTAATACTGTTGTCAACAATGAATACAAATTTCTAAAAGACTTAAGATTACTTGTATATTTGCTTGTGGTATTAAATCAATTTGGGATATCATTTAAATTATTAGAATGACAAATCATTATAAAAATAATATACAAGTGTAAACAAAAGAAGTATTTATATCACATTTTGTCAAAAATTTATTCATTTAATATTTTACTTCACATGTAGATATTGCTGGTTCACCACTTCTTAATCTGTCTGCCACTTGTTTTGGTATCATTTGGTACAGCAGTGAATCCGTTCGTTTCATCTCTGCATCTAACTTCAACATACTTTCTTGAAGAATCTTGCTCTTCTTTTGTTCCTAAAAGTCAATTCAGTTACAAATAAACATTTATTACATACCCATGCTGCTTTTGCGACCTCGTAAAAATGGTATAACACGGCTGTGCATTTATTTTTTGGTGATACGTCATTTGCATTATTTAAATATAGCGTTATGACGCGCTAAATGTTATATATATATGTTAGCATTAAACTAAAGACGCGTCAATGAAAAATGGTTCTTTTTCACTTTAAAGGGTCATATATTTGGTATGTGATAAAAAGGGTATTTGAATCGTGTAGGTTCATTACTGAATTTATTGAACAAGTTGAATAAAATAATATTATGTTCGCCAGAGTCTCTCGCATAATATAACTTTATTCAACTCGTTCAATAAATTCAGTATTAAACTTACACTCAGTCATTATCCTCTATATATTTCAGATCATCTTTGAGAAAATCGTAATCTATAAATGGTGATTTATACATGTAAGCGAATAACTTCAAAAGATACTTAACGATCGTAAAGACTCGCTGAAATAACATGCACGCGTGACATGCTGGAGACAATAACCTACTAAGACAATACAATCATTGATAGATTACCATCATGAGATAAGTTAACCACTAAGCGAATCCAATTTAAATACCAGAATACTATCTTTAGTACTATCCAAGGAGGTTACAAGGACAACGTCAGATAATTAGTTTATCTTTGCATTCTCAAAGTTGTCAAAACTGCCCTCTTGTGAATTACTAGTATACTATTCTCATAATTTAAATGAGACCTATCGGAAAAGGAATTGATTAGTATATACCGTATATACTCGTAAGTTCACTGTAAGCAGTTCGTGATTATCAGGAATCAGGTGGTCTTGCTTTTAATCACTGTTTATATGACCATTGGGAGCAAAGTTTAGCCGTGAATTTTGCCAGCCAAAGTGGTATATATAACAGAATAAGGTATTTAAAATGTGTAATTAGGAAAGGGAAGTAAATGAGAGTGAAGACGGTTAATTTGATTGTAGCTGATTTAATATGAAGTTTCCCGAAAAAAAACCACAAAGCCCTAATATAATAACGTAATTGTTTATACTTAATTGCATTTTATCATTAGCCGGATGACGGCTTTTTCATTTGGCCATGAACCCGTGCCCTCCAAATATGGCCTTGCTCTACGCTATTCAGTCAGTCCATATTTTTTGAAATTTTCACTAAAAAGGTTATTATAAAAATTATCAAGATTCAACGACGGACGTAACCTTTTAAGGTGTATAGCAAGTTAAGAGTTGTAATTTTTTAATGAAATAGTAGAAACGATGTACAAATATAAAAGTAAACAATTGTAAGCAAATGACATTCTATCACAAACCTGATCTAAGGCGAGTTTGAGCTCCGCAGATTGTTGGGTACCAGCGAGGACAAGGTCTCGACTTGAATCATGCATACTGAGATCGTTGATATATAATCCAGTTTTAAACATTATGTCAAGACTCTCCATTCTATGAAAAGAAACAGAGTAACTTGAATATAATAAATATCATGCGCTGTATAAAGACTAAAGTTTAATGTATAAAATTATTTTAGCTCGACAGTGATCGAAGTAAAACACTCTTGAATCCGTTCCTAGAACCAACCAGTACTAAGCAATGAATGTAAAGTTTCTTGCTCAAGGAAACAATGGCTTGCCTCTGACTTGGTCCGAATCCACGCGGTCAGCAATCCTTAGATTAACTAGTCTGACGCGTTATTCACTCTGTCACGTCGACACCGTAAAGACCTTGTATAAAATACACAATGTTTCGCACAATTTTATATTCCATAAATAAAATGGAATGTGAAAATGGCAAAATATTCTATTCTTAAAATATCATTAAACTATTCATTCATCTAAAACCAAATTGAATCATAAAATTTTCTTCATAAATTCTTCATGAAGACTTTTCATTCCAAAGGAAGATATTTTATAAAGAGTCCAATCTAATGTTCATCATAAGAGGTGTCTATACATATAATACAATATCTGTAATACAATTATATTGATAAAAGCAACCTTTGTATCAATTCATTATTTAATTTGGCATGACTTTACTCAAATGAAATAGGAACGTTTGTTATTCAATAAATTATCTTACAACAAAATGAATTTGCTATTTTTGTATTTATCTTTGACATGACTTTCCTCGATTGAACAGAACAAGGAACGTCCGAACACTGAAGCACTTGCCCCTCACCGTTGTGGGTTCAAATCCCGACAGGGACTTTGGATATCATGAAAGGAAGCTATCCGGCTAGCTTACGGGACGTCGGTTGTTCTACTCAGGTATCCATTTGTTTCTGAAATAATGCATGGAAGGACACCTGAGATCTTTTACCACCAGTAAAGCTGAAACATCGCCATAAGACCTATACTGTGCCCGTGTAACATAAAACCAAATAAAAACAACAAAAACAATATTACAGAGCATTCATTCTTGCAGAGCATTCATTCTTGCAACAAAATAAATAGCATTTTCTATCAAATAAGAATCTTACATAGGAGTGCCAAGAAAAATGATAGATTCCCATTCAGGCATGTACATCATTTGACCTTTAAGGTGAATTGCGTAGCCTACCATCCCACTTTCATCAACATCTTTTTCTTGGTCCACTGTACTATGGGCTGTTTCTAAAAAACATGCGTGGATTTGTTGCAAACAAAATCATTTATTATCATAACAATGATGTTCAATTTTTAATGATTTTATTTCGGCTCTTTTACTATAATATGCTCTTAGGTTTATTTGCTCTTATTATTTAATAGAGAAAAACATAATCCCCAAAGAAAGCACATTCTTATTACATAATGTATAAAAGAACGGAACAGCAGTACAGTACTGTAAATTATCAATTGTCGCCGTAAAACGCTCTGCATAAAGCAATCGTCTATTTACGTCATAAACGTTTTAAACCATACGTATAAAATTATATAATTCTTGTATTGTTTTAGAAATAACATTGAGTTTTTCTACTGTCGGAAACATTTTTTATTTCTTAAAGAAAGTGTAACAAGGTCCTTGAACAAATACTCTGATGTCATGCTTATGTCATATTTTGACTTCGGAAAGGAACATTTGTTTGAATTAACTTACCAAAACGACTTCCTGGAGTTTTCCTTTTAGGAACTCTGTCTGTGATGAAAAAATAACATTAAAACAAAATTTAACAGAAGTACGAAAACAACAAAAAACAAATAAAAAACAACAACAACAAAAAGACAACAAAAAAAAACCCACACACGCAAAAATAATACTCAGATTTAAATGTTATGTTGTTATAACAGAATGTCCGATTATAAAAATATATTAATTTAACAATATAACTGTGAAAAACAATCAGATGAACTAATTTAAACTATTAAAAAAACGAAAATAGAATCGTTGTTTAAAAACATATATTCACATAATTATAATTAAATCAAACTGAAGTGGAATTTAGAGAAAACAAACAACATGGTAGCAGTTTTTGTTAATCGTAAAATGAAGATTGACACTGTAAAAACAATTACAATACATTACCAAGCAATGGTGGTTCTAAATCATCAGCAATTTCCGTGTCATGATACCGGCTGACACACTTTGTTGACAGCAGCTCAAATGCATTGTTTGTATGCGCCAAAATCTGGAAAAAATGTAGCAATAGGTAAATACAGTCCACTGAAATAAGTAAGAGCAATGCATCAACAATGGTCTTGTTGATTTATAACAAAAGTTCCATTAGAACAACAGTAATTAAGTCCTGATGGAAACACCACTTTTTCCCATAACAAATCGGTCACTGACATTTGTGATGAGAATGTCAAAAGTATCAACTAAGCTGGCCTCAAGTGATTCTTTAATCAGATATCTTTATCTCGCCTTTGTAATTATAATGGTTTCACATGGGGACATAAATTAATTTGTTGAAGAAAGTAAGTGATTAGATAGAAAAATAAGTGACATAATATCTTTAGAGTGTTCCTGTATTAAGAACAAACAAATAACATTTGGTGATCAAAGTGTTGTTGCCAATTTTGTGTAAAACATCTGAAGAATAAAGAATGATATATAAAGAACATATAAGGTTACGTGACTGAGACATTAATAATTGGCTCAACAAATTACGTCAACACAGTTTGATATGAAATGTCAAGAAATGATGGTGACCTTGGTGTAACTGATTTTCTTATCCTGACAATGGTTGATATATCAGAGCAAACGTGCAGCGTCAAAACATTTGAAAAATACTTTCGTCTAAATGGAAAAGAGAGACCAATTGTAGCATGTTACATGTGCATCACGTGCTTTCAAAGATAAAATGTATCATGAAACCATAATTGTAAAAATAAACAGTAGACCTAATCTATAAGTGCTAAAGGATCTTGAAGCACTATTAATAAACAATTCTAATAAATTAATAAAAAAGTTTTTCCAAAATTTAATTATGTAGGGCAGATTCAATTTTATTGCACACAGCATATCAATTGAAACCTTATACTTAACAATTGAGAATCTGTCTGTCCCTTTGTTTACAAATGATGCAGCGATTATGTAAATGCATTTAATTATTTACAGCATGATAGAAAATACACTCTGGACATCTTTTAAAGACAATAACAAATTTTAATGTTGACTGTACTAGCAAAATTGTAAACTGTTACTTAGCTTAATAGATATAGTTCTCCGTGCACCTTAATTGTTCAACCTTTTTAGTCTTCAGATATTTGGTTATGTCAGTTATCAATTATCCGGAATAGATTTGTTATATTATTTAGACTCTGTTGGGAAGGTTGTTGATAATGATATGAAAACCCAACCCATCACCGCTTTACTTGTAAAATGATTTTTTTTGTATTTTTCATATTCTTTTTGTTTAATAAATATATTTGCAATAAAACATTTTTAATAAAGTATCTCAAAGTATTGAACGACTTCATTCAATGAGAAACTAAACATATTTCTTTATTTTCAATTGGCTTTTTCATTGCTTTTAGTTAATCAGTTGGAAATATAATTCAATAAATTTAAATGATTGTTTCTGTTTTACAAAATGTTCCTTTAGAAAATTAGATTTCAGATTGATAAAGCGTAGTTTTAACAAGCTTATATTAAACTGATTGACTGCTTGCTGGAATTGGTTCTTTAATTGCGTGTTATTGATGCTGTTTCTGCCTTTTAATTTAGTGAATATAGCTTTTGAGTTTAGACAAACAATCGTGGTACTAAAGCTGATATTTTTCGTATAGAAACCCTAGCTTAACACCAGATTGTGGAGATAGTAATGAAAGAGTAAACGAAAGTAATGTCGAACAGAAAGTTTGAAAGGTTCATCACTGCATGGCGAAAATTGCAAGCATAAATAACTTGCACTGTCATAATATGTAACCTTTAGCCTACTGGTCTCGACTAAAACTACTCATGCAGACCAGTGCAGACGATTATAGTCATATGATTGCGGTCTGCACTGTTCGCGTATTAGTCAGTACATATTTTGGAACTTTTTTTCCTAAATCGATGAAAAGTTTTGTTCAGACTGTAGTTTGGGCAAGTCCATTAAAAATATTTAGCGTTGTACGGGGTAATAAATGATTCACTAAAACTATAATATACGATTTTTATGTTATTTACTTTTTTAAATATGAAAATATAAATTGTTGTCATAACAATCTTATATTATTACTTTCAGCATAAGCAACTTTTTGTTTCAGTTTTGATAAACAAAATGCAAATACAGCAGAAAATTTCTTTGAAAGCATCGACATCCTTTCATATAAATGTTTCTGTTATATTATGATAAAAGTAAATGTCAAATCACCCTTAGCAATTCCATGCTGCATAAACATTCCAAGAAAAAACACATTGTTCATTTATAGAAACTTCTTCAACTCTTTTCAGTGATACAATTTGCTTTCTCAATGAAATAAAATAAATCTAAACAAACGTCAATCTTGTAAACGAAGCTGTCTAGACATTCTCTGAATATAAACGCTTACGTCTCTTTCCTTTGTAAAGGCCTTTTCGTCCGTTGATAACGTTCAAATTGAAAAGCTAACTTTGTTAAATGAGCTAGAATCTTTTAAAGATAATCGTTTTATCATGTTTATGTTACTAGGATTATGTATAAATATTAAGGGCATCGAATAACGTTACTGGGATGTGTAAATAAAAGCATTTGATAAAATTAAACATGAAATGGCTCCTTAAGTCATCAACGTTAGTTATTATAAATTGACCTATCGCAATTACCATTGTCGTCGTAGCATCAACTAAAAACAACAAACACGTTATATTATACTGAATTAATCACTTTATTTTGTTTTGGTTTTGAATAATCATTTCTTACAGAAAGAGATCGAGATTAAGATAATTGCGTATTTGATAGGCAGGATTGACACTACCTTTGTTTGAAACGCAACACTACATGGTTGGATATGACCAGAATGTGCATTTACCGAGCATAATAAACAATTGAAAACAATGCAAAGACTGACACGAGCATTTATTCAATCATAACGAGACAATATAATGCTCACGTTACATTTTTACAGCTGTTGGCATAGACAAAGTCGCCACAGACAGGTATCGTAATCTTATTAAATAGTATCTCTGCGCATATCATGTTTTATGATAATAAAATATTTACACCTCCCTATAGTGCAACCACAGTATCAATTTTACATTCTAACAAAGAAATGAAGACAAAGTAGGAGGAGAGGCAAAAACAATGTAATCAATATGTCTTTATGTCCATTTTTATAGTTTGACGCAGAGATCTTTTTTCCAACCATTTATCGAAAATCACGAAACTGTTTATTGCAAGGTTTGCGCAAAGTTCAGACTTGAAATAAAATACAAGAATATTGTGATGTAACCAGAAAAAAATATTGTTAATGTTTCTAGTTGCTCAGTAAGAGATTTTTGAGACAAGCACAATAAATACTCAAGCTTTTTTTAATTATTAAATCTAACATTTTGTACAAAAAAAAATACAACACTGCATGACTTTTTTAAAGTTAGCAAATTTTTAAACATTATTCTGTAAAATAATATTAATAATTCCGAGAATTTTAGACGTAATCATTCCAGGATTAATTGAATACGATTACAATTAGTTTTTTCTTTTCGTATAATAAATCTAAACAATTTGTAACAAAAGTTGTCTAGACACAATCAGATTAAAAAAAGTATATATTTTTTTTATAAAGTATTGAAAGCAAAATTTTAAGTAACTGTCAGGAATTCATTTTGGTATACTGGCTAAAATACTAACAAAGAATGAATCTCTTATGAACGCTAGGTCCGTCAAAATTGAATAGATTTCAGGCTCGATTTGATTGACTATGTCTATTATAGACGGATATGTAAAGCGTCAGCAACCGTCCAATTCCTTATCACCGCCATTAGCCAAATTCAACAATTTAAACATAAATAAGTGTACATTCTGAATTAAGAATGATTCACAGATGACACAAGTCAACATATTTCAACAAACTGAAAAAATAATAGTGTTATTTTATCGAGTTACACACATAACAGCGAGGTTAAGATATGAATGATGTGAATTATTGTCAATTCTTGTATTTTTTATATTCAACTCAATATGATTGTCTGTGATAAGTGAGGTAATTTGTCACGTCCATTTACCGAACACCGTCAGTCATTTGAAAACAATCAACAGAATAACAAAAGCATTAATACAAACGTATGATACAATGGAATGTTCACGTTACAGTGTTACAGCTGTCGACATAACGACAAGTCTAACAATCATATCTCTCCGTTATGTCATATTCCATTTAAAAACCATTCACTCTCCTCTAGTGTTATTACGGTGATATCAATTTCAACACGACTTAAAATTGTGATATAATGAAAACAATTGCAAGAAAAAGACATTTTGTCCGTTTTGATAGCTTTACGCAAAACTCTTTATTGAAAGTTTGTTTGTACCATCTTAAATAAGAATTGCTTAAGTTAAAAGGTAAGAACAAATTTCAAACTTAATATTAGAGATAAAGGCAGAAATCACATAAGGAATCAAAAGTATGATAACTTATCATGCATTTTAATTCTAAATCTATATTTTGATATTTTATCTAATAATTCAGTTAAAATACCATCATGTGTTATTAATTTGAAAATTGCAGTGATACCCGTCTAAAATTTCTTACAATTCACTATCACAAATTTGACTGACAGTTGTGTCGTTTTCTGACCAAACCTAACTCTTACTGAGTTAACATAAAACATAATATAATATAATTAAACGCCGACAAATTAAAGGAAACGAGCTTAAATTCGTCAATTCTTATTCTTAAAAATTTTAATGCTTCTTTAATTGTATTTTGACTATTTCAAAACAAACAAGGTACTTAAACTCTTTTAAAATCACCACGGAAATGCTTCTTTTAGAAAACCGAAGTGGACATTTTTAAAGATACAAAACTTTATTTTACAAGATATTATATATAGTAAAATAACAATAAAATAAAAATGCGGCTATCATGGAAAAAATCAATGAATGTCATGGTAACGACTTGAATATCTTCATTTTTTATATTAATGAACCTATTAATTTCACTTCAAATGAACGTTATAAAATTACTTCATTAAAGTGGTATATACATGTTTAAATCAATCGATCAATTAATAGAAGTTGAGAATTCTCTCTCGACTCTGTGGAGTATTCATTTTTAGGATTTGATGCAAGCATGGAATCAGGGAGACATACTTTGGTTCAAAATGATCTGAATTTGAAATAAGCAAACATATAAATTCCCGGGAAGATAAATAAGAACGAGACTGGAGAACCACATTCCTTCGCTTAAAATGTTTCTGTTAAAGTATTCCTTGACTTTGCAAAAGTATGAACAAAGTATGTGAATCAGTTGTATTCAGCTAAAGGTCTAAATCTCCGACACTGACAACTGAAGCATACGTCTTTCAGGCCAATAATTTAATACCCGAATTACACTTTTACCTAATATAGCTAAGCCTAATTCAGGATAGGGGAACATAAATGTTATGCAAGAATCTTTGGACTAGTTTTTTCTACAACACATTTGTTAGGCAGGACAATGCTTTAACAAAAAATAAAAAACAATGTATATTGTTGTCAATTGTAGATAAAAGGAATGTTAATGGTACTTACACTGAACCAAGAGAATGGAACAAGAGGTAGGACAATTGTAAAAACATCAGTGACAGTCTGTCCAACCATATCAGGAAACACGGCTCTCAGACCATTGCCTGCACTTCTTACTTCCATGTGTTCATTGAAAACTATATGAAATGGAAACAGTTCGAAAAACACATCCGCATTCAAAGGAAGGTTGACTGAAAAATCGTCTTTATTTTCCTGAGTTACTTTGTAAGCGGTGTTGTCAAAATGTAATTTCATAACAACATGAGTCATGGTGTCCGTCTCCTCCTCACTTATGACGTCAATGTCTACTTTTGTATTATAAAATAGAGCGCCAACTTGCCGAATTTGTCCTTTGACATAATGAACATAACCTTTGCGTTTACTTCGGTAATGCAATGTCAACCCTGATGTTGTTTCTTCTTCAACGAAGAAAGAAGGCGGACGAAGCTTTGGATAACTGAATCTTAAATATTCATGGAGATTGTCGAGACCGTTAAGAAAGTCCGTCATATGCCTGCCAAGAACTTTGAGTATTCTGTCGTAACCATACTGTCCAACAAATGATACAAAACAAACACCAAATGCATCCATTAGATCGTTATAGCTGCACCCTGTGATCTGTGACAATGCCCGTCCTATGTTCGGAACAAGATTTTCGCTGTATCGTTCGTGTGTGGAAAATGATACTTGTTGTATGTTAGCTACCTTCCTCACATCCAGCCACACACTTTCACCAAAGTTTTCTTTGATGTAGTGCACTATGGCTTCTATAAGAAGACCATACATCTTGCCTTCATCCGATCTGAAAATATAATTTGAATAGTCCAATCATTCTTGTTTTGTACAATATGAGTTTTTGAAATAAAGATCAATATATTAATTTTAAAAAATACATTGTTATATAATATCACACTTGTGTATGTAAAATGGTTGTTAAGATACCATGAAAAGCAAAAAACAATCAAAATGAACAATTATGTTTCATTCCAATATTCTCATGACGTTAATCCTATTTAATTTAATCTAAAGCAACTTTGTAGTATTGACGTTTTAGCACACAATAAGGAATGAAAGAAAAACAAAACAAAAAAAACAAACAACAAACAGTGTGTATATCTTTCTTCAAAGTCGTCAAATATACAACAGAACAGATACTGTTTAGACAAGTATCTGAACTGTCCATGTGTACACTCTGAAGAAAGAATGTAATATCATTTTTCCCTCAGAGACTGGTCATATCGAGTTTCTAGTCAAAGTGCTGTGCCAGTGTGATTGCTTATATCGAAAACCCGCTGAATTAAATAAGTAGTTATATATTATTAGAAGATATCACAAGGGCAATAAGAAAGTCATATGACAACAAGCGGTGTTAATAAAGTAAAGACATAATACATGGAAACATCTTCACTTGTACGGCTGGTTATATTATGTAAAAAATCAAATCGAGTTTTTAAAACGTAAGTTCGTAATTTGTAAATGCACTTGAATCACCATGTACAGTTCGTTTTTAAATGTGTGATCTTTAAATACTGTTTGCCCGGTTTGCTATATGTTTCTTTGGAACAGAGGCTCATTAGATAAGGATTTAAGTATCCTTATATACCTATATATTCTAACGTTCCAGTTTGCTTGATAAATGGCATAACCTGGATTTTCATTAACATTTAAAAGCAAAACAATTAAATCGCGCTTTCCAACTGTTGTTGCTTTAACATAAATCGTTTTACTATCATGAACAAGTTACAACAAAAATAAATTTTTCAATATTTTATCAGGTGTCTCCAGAGTTATACAATAAAGATGCCTATATATTACCTTATAACAATATTATGTAATTATACATAAAATATCATTTGTCTCATTTAGATACGATGCATATTTCTATGCTTAAACTTTAAAAGTGTAAGACCTTAACGAGGGATACATTATTTTCATGTAGTTGGTACTGGTTTTAAAGCTATTTTATTACAGCAATAGGAATTATCGAAAAGTTCTTTCAAGTTATATATCAATGATTATGGTATGATCCAATATGCAACTTTATGAGTTTCATAGTTTTTTTTTAAATATTATGCTTGTGATTGTATTCCCTGAGTTCGAATATTTTTCGCATATCACGGTAATATTGATTAATATTAATATTGTTTCAATTTATTGCAAAAAACAAGAGTAAAGTTTTCATAATATCACAAGAATTGTTTATTTAAGTTCAAATTGTTTATTTAGCCAATAAAATAAACTTTGGAAAATTGTGCCGAGAAAACGGCATAAACTACAAATTTGCATGTATCAATTACTGTTTTGAACACGCGTTTTGACCATACTATTACGTGACATGTTAAAACTGTCCATATCATATAAATTTTAGCTATAACGTTGATTCGCGAAAGTTGAATTGCGTTAAAATCAGATATCTATAAAACTTTGAATTATTAATTTGAAACAACTATTAAACTTTAATCTCTATATGTGTTAAGTGTGATTTCATTTATTTCTATTTAATCCCTTAACGAACATCTAGAACGATTTACGGTCTTAGAATTTACTGCAGTATTCTGAATTTAGATATTATAATCTAGGCACGCCTTGTTAATGAATATGTTTCAATAACATGTATATTAAAGTATCAAACCAAACAGGTAATTTGATATGTTTAAAGCAACTGTAAATAGTTACATGTTCAATACATTTAACATATTAAATGAAATAACACATTGTATTATTTATTCTATTGTTTCTTCCATTTTTCCTTTCGAATGGCATTAGTGATAGACTCTATCCTATTAACTATTAATTATGCATTTGTAAATTTGATTACCTGCTACGGTAGAACAAGTAACAACAAAATATATGCTCTTAATTTGTATCCATTTCACAAACTATCCTAAATAAAAGCAATGTCATTATCTATTCAAAATATATTTTTGTTTTACAAATAGCTCTATATAGCAGTACAATGTTCTTTAGTTTCACTAAAATTCAATAACGACGACGACGACGACAACAAGAACAACAGCATCAACTCCCGTCCCACATTGCAGTTTCATAAAAGTTCAATCATTTTATTTTGTTAGCTGCAAATATGATATAAAATGTCTGACATTTCTGCACACATAATTCTAAAAGTAAGAAATGCATTATTACCACTTTAATAAGAAATTACTTTAATGCCTCAAATAACCTATCAAATTAATAAACCCCTCCATCAAATTAAAACACACCAAATAAAAAGCAACAAAAACAAAAAACAACAACAACAACAACCCCCCATTATCTCTAGCTTTTTGGTAATAAATATTTTATTTTGTATTGGAGTCAAAACCTCTTTTTACATTTTGCTATTATTTCAAATCGCTTCTTTTTGTCATGTTACATGCATATAACGCGCTTAAAACAATTATTTAAACAATGAAAAATCAACTGTGTATTTTCTAGAGAAGTACAAAAAAAATATATAAAATAATATTGTAACGTTATATCTTCATTTACTACATTTTACTTCATTATTGTGGAGGTCGTTATTGATATTCACATTATTCCACACAAAACATATTACATTTGTATGCTGATCAACAAAGTTCAAAATTAATTATAATCATAATATCCTTTACAAAACATTTATCTTTAAATCGTTCGTCATGACATTACGTTTCTTTTCATAGTTTATTGAAGGTATATTTCGAATTAACAACATTAATATGGCTATATAAATGATGATATTATACATACCTGGTACATTTGTATAGTTCTTTATATTACAAGAGAGAGTTTCCATAGAAATACAATATTAATAATTATATGTTATATACAAACATTACATTAAACGGTTATTAAAGATAACAATTAGCGATAATTAATGAACTAGAAAATAGCACGTTTTTTTTATTTGTAATAAACTATTAGTAATATAATATTTTTATTATGAAAACATTTTATTATTTTGGCTTCATCTTAAAAAAGTACAATATAACAATCAAAAGGAAAAACATTATAGTCACATAAAACGGATATATTTGAAATGTTTAAGGGTCGGTTTGATGACGACAATGGTAAACGCAGACTACTGTTCACGCTCCCTAGAACCGGTTTGCCCATGTTATTAAGTTTACAATGTAGAATCATGTTCCGATGTATTTTTTAGGCAGTGAGCATGAAACTTTCATCGTTCCTCTTCTTTACCGATTCATAAAAAGTTGCGTAATGTCCAAAAATAAAATTATCAGTTCACTTATTATAATATGATGTAACATTATTATAGTTCATGATCTACATTGATTGTTTACAAAAGACAACTAGTATTCATCCTCAACGTCTTGGGCAATCGTTAACAAGTCTTACTTTTCCTGATAATAATAGTTTACATAAAAGAGTACATAAAATAATTTTGATGACATTTCTCAAGTATTGCAACACGATGACAAAGAAGAAACAATTTCTTTTGACGGTTTACGACTTGTATTCCTTGCAATAATTAAGCATAATAAAAGATTTTTTTAAAACAACAAAATCGATGATTTGATATTTCAATAAGATACGAGAATTGATATAAAACTCCTAAGATAGAAAAACATATCTTTCTGTTTCATTGTGATAATATTTCAAATATGAGAAAAAAACTGTTTTGCCAACGGCATAACGGCATATAATAATAATAATGAAATTATCTCTCTGCTTCATTGTGACATCATATCAAAGACTAAAACTGAAAACAATCAAAGTTGTTTTCAGGGTTAAAAATGATTTTGTACTGAATAACTTAATACTTTAATATAATTATAAAGGACTATTCAAGTCTTATTTATATTATAGTTTTTCTAGTCTCAATATAATCATTAATAAAGGTTATTATTGTTACATAAATTGTAACATCAGTTGAAAATCTTTGTATGAAAATTCTAATATATCATCTTTTAAATTAACATTGTGAATAGCGCAAGGCAAAACGTTTCTTGATTTTCTGAGAAAAAAGTTCAAACTTGATTTGTTTTAAAAAAACCTTTCATTGTCTAAAAAAATGTTCCTTTGTTTTGTAAATTAATAAATGTATATTTTACAATCTAACAATATGATTTTACATACCTTCCTAACCAGATAAAATCCCAGTATAATTAATTCACCAGAATATCCAACTAACTAACCAACATTAGCTTATCATCTATGAAAACAAGTTATACACACATATCTCAATATACACTATATACATTGCAATTGAATCACGTCAGACTCTAGAGATGAAGATGAATTTTAATGAGCATCCATATGCAGCTGCCACAAAACCAATGCTATAAACAGATACATAATGCTTCAAAATAATCAAGGAGCATCGCAGTCGGTAGCTATTTCTTGTATCAATGTAAGGTTTTATCACTCTTTTTTTATATTCTACAAATCCAGTCACTCTCTATTTCTAACTCGCACACTCTAGTTCTGTTGCTAGCATCATGGAATTTTATGTAGAATTCACGATTCTCCTAGGTCTGAATAAAGAGATATTCTTATATAATTGTAATCAATAAACAAATACTCTTTATTAAATCCTTGAGTTTAATTTTTCGCTCTGTTAGCATCGTTTATTTGATGCATGAAAGCAAACGAGTTGCCAGAAAAAACACTAAAAATTGTATCCAAATTATGTCACACATTTGTGAATATACACCCTCTATTTAAGCGTTAGCCTCCTTGAATTTTAAATTGTATGCGACCAGTGCATTACAATATAACCGGTAATGTTCGCTATTGATTCATAACTTGAAAATGTTACTAATTAATAAAATATGATGGGTGGTTTTGTCCAGATTACAG